TATCATCTGAGGATACGTTGGTGGTTGACCTCGATCCTTGAGGAAGTCGTCATCGATGTCATTGACGGCACGTTGAATCTCGGCATTGCCTACCGCGTTGACCTTCTGGTGCGCGATGGCGAGAAGTCGAATGTAGATGGTTGTCGTGAAAGCCATAGTTGCACAAACAGGAACAACAAGGAACAACCTGTGAATGGTGGACGCCCATTCTAATTGTGCGCTGATATCTCGACCTAAGCAACGATTGATTAAAAATTGAATAAATGGTGATTCCGGAATCGGTAGGTAGATCCCACAGACCAGCATGGTCATCACAAGGGCTGATGTGAGAGCAATGAAAAATCGTCTTCTGGTGACAATGGTGTAATAGCGCAGTGGTCTCGTGACAAGGAGATAGAGATTGAAACTGATTCCAGAGAGAGAGATCATTATAAACCATATCGAGACCTGATAGACGTACGGAAATAGTAAACTAGTGATAGAACAATAACTTTTATCAGGTGAGAACCAGAAATAGTCCCACAAGCTCCAAGTTATACCCAGAATCAAGTCCGAAGTTGCCAGAACTTGGTAGAGGACTCTCATGTTGTCCTGGAGTTCCCTTTGTAGACGGATTACAAACAGTACGATGGCATTCAAAATCACTGCGAAAACACAAATTACAATATAGACATTGATGTTAATACGATCCGAATCAAAATTTGGAGCTTTAGATGCTAGAAAATCCATGCTTTCTGTCGCCGCCATTTGTTAAAATTACAAGCCGATATTTACGGAAAAGTATAAACGTCTTTTCTATCAGCAATGACACAAAGTCGAAAACGAGTTATTATCTGCACGAGTTCTGATGTCCCCTCGTAATTACCATGCATACCGTTTATTGACTTCAATAAAGTGACCTGTGTCACCTGTCACTCATGCAATGCCCTGTCGAAGGCTGTGGGGTTTTTTGGATTATGCTTGATTCCAATAAAATTTTAATCACGTTCGCTGTTATAAGGCAAAATGAGCTCTCGCGCCGCACTTGATTAAAAATATTTAAAATGTTTGTTTGTGCTTTTTCGTACTTGAATGTACGAATTCTGCTTCATTTTAGGAAATGATCCTACGAAATTTCTTAACCTGTTGCGTTCTTGAAGTAACCAACCTTCAGATTGACTCATCAAATGTTCGGAATAAACTTTAATTCAATATCTAGAGCAATGATACTTTCGTTATACCGAATCTTTCGGAAAAAATTAGGTTCCGGAGAAACAAAAAAGTTCATAAAAATATCAGAATAAGAGAATTGTGATTTAAGAATTGTTGACATTCGGAAATACAAATCGTCTGAGAAAAAAAATGAACATCTGGAGAAACGAAAGTTCTAACAAACTATTGGAATACGAAAATCGACCATTCAGGTCATACTACACAGCACCAAGGAAAATGTCACCGTAAGAACACAGCCTAGAGATGTCAGCATATTTGTCTTGAAGGCAATGCTTTACGAAGCTACAAGAGAAAGGTGTCAGAATCGGATATTTGCAGAGGGATGTATCAAATTTAAACAGCCACTTTCATGAATGCACTCGGCCTTATCATTTGACAGATGGGTAAATATGGAAACTAATTGCTAGCGACATACATTATGCATGCGGATAGCAATAGGTCCGTCGATTCTCTTGAGATATCACGTCAATTATATCTCCCAGTCAAGTCAAAGTTGGTAACCTATTAACTTAGCCTACCTCAGTCACATCAGTGAGACCGAAAGGAGACTAGCCTTTTGACAAGGCCTCGTGACTCTGGCTATTTTCTACCCTAATCAGCGGCTGAGATGAGCCCAGAGATCCGGGTGAACGCACGATCGAGTGGCTTTAGCCGCGAGGCCTGTTGGATTCTGACTTTTACTGCTCTGCATGAATTATTCATGAATTTTGATTTAATGACCAATCAGAATGGCCATTTCCCAGTTGATTTCGTTCGTGATTAGTTTTTCAAAACATGTAAGAAAAAGTAAAAAAAAACGTTAACTAGTTTTGCTTATAAGATGAACATATAAATGATTAATACAAAATATCACATCCAAATCTATTTTACATGCAAAGTTACAATAAAATAGGAAGCATTTGATGACTTGAGCTAACAATTGTAAGTGAGATAATTGGACTTAACCTGTATATAAAATGAACCAGTCCAACTCGTTTCGTTCAATGTTATAGGTATTCGTACTACGTAGAGTTTACTGTGAACGTGATGGATAATATATGCTGACGTCACGCGATGATAAGTTCGGTGATTGGACGCTACCATTTCGGTAGAGAATTCAAGTCGGAAACAAGGGTTAACATGATAAATCCAAACCAGATTACTAAAGGCCACTTGGCTGGGCCACTCCCTTTACATAAAAACCTAATGGTAAATGAATGGTGTTTGAATGGTAACGTCAATGGTAAACGGTATTTCAATGGTGTGCCAATGGTAGATTCTGTATGGTGAATGGTGTTTCAATGGTAGATTCTGTATGGTGAATGGTGTTTCAATGGTAGAGTCTGTATGGTGAATGGTGTTTCGATGGTGGAATTGTATGGTCAATGGTGTTTCAATGGGGCGACTGACGGTTAATGGTGTTTCAATGGTGGAGTTTGTATGGTGAATGGTGTTTCACTGGTAGTGACTTTGAGAAAACTAGGTGTCCCTTATACTTTGAACTACAATGCTCTGTGATTTCGCTTTATTTTTCAATAATTTGTCTTCATGATCAACGTTTCAAAGCTGACAAACTGCAAGGAATAATACCCTAGTCCTCAGGAACAATGACGGATCTTTAGTTTTTTTCTTCAATTTGGAGTAATTTTGGATCTGATATGTGTCTCTTTAATAATAATAATAATAATAACAATCTTTTTAGTCCACTCCAAATTTTATTAAACCGAAAATGGATATTCGTTTTGCCAAATTGATCGTGAGCCCGGCAGCCACTGAGCAGCGCCAGATCGACGTCGCTCTATCCCCTTATTGTTGAACGCCAAACAAGGTAGCAGCAACACCCGTCTTTTAACGTCTTTTAGTATGACGCGGACAGGGTTCGAACCCACGACCTCCCGGTTGTTAGGCGGACGCTCTACTGACTGAGCCAACACACCGTGAGTAACTGTTGTTTTTATTCCTGTGGTCCCACTTATATAACTCTGTGATGTACATTATTATACATTTGTTTACATGAAGAGTTGAACAGCCTGTTATTGTTAATTAAAACAGCTTTAATATAAATCGTTCTATTTTATTAAAAAAATTGAAATATTACGGTATTACGGGCACACCTTTATAACTTTTATCAAGTTATTTATCTGATAGTAAACAATTAACAATTATTAATAAAGCTGAATCCCAAGTTAAAACAATAGGTTGCGGAATTCCTAAGGATCTATTCTCGGCCCTCTTTTGTTTTACGGTAGATTTATATTAATGACACGCCATGTTCAACCCATAATTTGCGTTATATTTTATTTGCAGACGATACCAGTGTATTTTGTAAAGGTTGTGATCCTACAACTTTATTTCATTTCGTAAATACTCAATAAATTTAAGTACCGGTATGTGAATGAAATCCAATGAGTTTAAATTAAATACTAATAAAATTAATTACATTATGTTTGGAACTAATACCAAAATTCCAATGGATTTAAATTTGTTCTATTCAAATAAACAGATAACTCGGGTGTCAAGTACAACATTTTTAGGAGTAATTGTAGATATGGAACCACCATATAATTCATCTTTGTAACACTGTCTAAATATATTGGTGTTTTATTCAGATTGAATTTCTTACCTCAGACTGTTTTGAAAATGTGATATCAAGCCCTCATTTCTTCCCATTTTAGTTATTGTAATATTGTTTGAGGTTTCACTTCTAAAAGAAACATTTCACAATGCAATCGCATAAAACTGGTCTTTATCTTTAAGTTTTTTTCTGTAATAATTTTTTGATATTTTTTCTTACAATGTATAACCTAATAATAATTTTTGGACGTTCATTTGCATAATCACCAATGGTAGATTTTTACACCATTGAAATTTGAATATGAAATATGCAAATTTTTTACCATTAATCTGCCATTCACCATCGGCATACCATTCACAATTGGCCTACCATTCACCACCCACCATTGGCTACCATTGATAAATCATTTACCATCCACCATTGGTATTTCCATTGGTATACCATTCACTGTCCACCATTCGTGTACCATTGGCACACCACTCACCGAACACCATTGGCCTACCATTGGAGAATGGTGAATGGTATATATGCCAATGGTGAATGGTAGATTTATGGTACAAAATTTGCATATTTCATATTCAAATTTATATGGTGTAAATACCATTCATCTACCATTGATTGGTGATTATGCAAATGAGCGTCCAAAAAATTATTATTAGGTTGAAAGGTATTTCACTGGTAGATGAATGGTGCCCAATGGTACATTGCGAGCATAATCTCAATGGTATCCGAGTGGTATTTAAATGGTGTTTGTGAATGGTATCCGTATGGTATTTTCAGTGGTATTTCCGAATGGTGTACCATTGGTATACCATTGAACATTTTTTTGTAAGGGTCGCTCTGGCGTTCACTCGGATTTTCGCGATTAGTCTCTTTTTAGTCGCTCGGCGTCTATCAGACATGAGGCCTTGTATAAAGGCTAACACGAGACTGACTGCAGACCGTACAACAATAACCTTTCTTTGATTGGCCAAGTAATGGTCGTCTTGGAGTCAATGAGGAGTCGGTTAAGCGGTGTGACTGAGGAGTAAGAAACAAAGGTTTAAACATGGATATAATATTCATGATTTAAACAATATGATGAGCCTGCAACTACGTCACTAGAAGGATCTAGACTTTGTTCGAAATCCTCGAAATCCGCTTCCTTAGCATGCTCACACTCGCGGTTTATTTTTACCATAATGATTGTGATCTAGAGAGAGAGAGAGAGAGAGAGAGGGGGGGAGAGGGAGAGAGAGAGAGAGAGAGGCGGGTGCTTGCGTTTGTGTGTGTGGGATATTTAAAAATACCCATGATGTATACATGTGATGCAATTAAGCCACAGAAATGCACAGAGAACGGCTTACATAATTATATGCCAATGTCACATGATTTCATTCAGTTCAGCAAAACTATAGTAAAGGTCGTGTATTCATAGCGTCGATTCGGTTGCAAGGGATATAAATTCGCAAGCAAAAATGGCCAGTAAGTACATATTTAAAAATGTTTAGGTAGTTTAACACGATCGTTAAACTTTCAAAAATTAACCTTAAGAAGGCAATATAATCACGATAATTTACCTCGTATGTCATCTGGCATGCCTGTTGAAATGTGCAAACATTGCAATGTTATAAACCGTAATCTGAACATAATTAAAGATAAACTTGAGTTCTGGTAATGCGATTGCATTGTGAAAGAAAAGATGTGGAATGGATCAGAAAAGATGATCATATAGCATGTAAGTAATGGTGTGTAATGCAAGGTTCTGGAGTCATCAAAATCATCATAAATTTGGCAGAGTCTTGGTAAAGTAACAATCACTTACACAGAAAGATGTATATGGGACAACACACATGGTGTCGGGGCTAGTACTACCCTGATTTCCTTATCTTTCTATGCTCATTACTCAGCCAGTATACATTTTCTTCCAAAATTGTTTAGCACATGACATTTATTTGTAATCTTGAACATTCAGTGTAAGTTTCGTTAGATTCTGTGAGAATTCATTTTCTTTTTTTACCAGTACTGGAGTATATCTTTAAGAATGAAATAGAAATAAACCGTAATCTGAACATAATTAAGCAATATGTCGTAGCTTGTTTTATGTTCCCCACTTTCATTATCGTTTTGTCCCGTGTTTCCTGTATGTCGGTGTGTATATTTCTTCGTTCTCGTGTTTCTTACCATTTTTGATTATCTACATCTAGTCTTTTATTTTCCTCATTTTCATTCAATCCTTTTCTTTTCTATCGTCTCATTTCCTCTTTAACTTTGTCATTGATTTTACAACAAAACGATTATATGCTCTTTAGTAATATTATTGATAACTTAATAATAATAATAATAATCCGGTTTTTTATATAGCGCTCAATACACCGATCCAACGATGTACCTAAGCGCTTTACAGATATATTATTACCCCGGTCATCGGATTCAGGCTTACCGTACACAATACCGGGAAATATTGTACTTGATGATACTATCATTAAAAAAATATCTACTGCGAAGTTTCTGGGAATAATAGTAAACGATAAACTTTCAAGGAAGCTGCTTATTGATAATGTTTGTAAAATAATCTCTAGAATTATTGGCAAATTGAACAAGGTAAGATTGTATTTCCCATATCGTGTATTGCTTAATTTGTACTCAACTTTAGTACTACCTTCCTTGCATTATGGAATACTTGCGTGGGGCACCTGTGGAAATACTTAACTCGATAGAATTTTACTATTACGAAAGAAAGCAACAAATGAATGCGAATCATATCTTACACCAATTTCGGCGGTCATACTCATGAACTCTTTCACGCAAATAATGTTTTGAAGATACACGACTTATTTTCTTATAATCTTGGTATATTTATGTACACACTTCAGAAGAATGAATTGTCTCAAGTACTCTCGAATACGTTTAACAAAAATACTGAATTCCATAGTTATCCCACGAGATTAGCAAGCTCTTATCACCAACCAAAAACAAAAACGGTATTTTCCAGCAGGATCTTTACTTTCACTGGCCCAAAATATTGATATGCCATTCTCGGCACATTGAAAGAAAAACCCTTATTAATTGGATTAAAAAATGCCCTCAAGCGCTTTTTGTTGCAGACGTAGCATCAGCCTGTAACTCGTTCCCTAGTTTTTCGTATTTGGCCAGACTGTCCATTTTTCACATCGAAATTGTGACTCGTGTATGTTTTGTTTCCATATCTACTTGAAAATGATTCTTCCATGGCCACCCCCTCTCTCTCTCTCTGTCTGTCTCTTTCTCTGTCTTTCTCTGTCTCTGTGTGCCTCTCTCTTTCCTCTCTCTTTCTACCCCTTTCTCTGTGTGTTTATGCGTCTCCCTCTACCCCTCTCTCTCTCTCTCTCTCTCTCTCTGTCTTCTTTTGCTTCTCTTGCCGTTTTCCCTCTTTCCCTGCTTGTCACTCTCTCACCCTCATTTTCTTCATCTACCATCCTGTCTTCTCATCCTGCCTCTGTTCTTATTTGTTTTTGTTTCGTTTTTGTGTCCGGCGTGTTTCTTAATTTTTGTCATTCCTATGTATAACTTGCTTAATTATGATTAATCATCAGTAATTACTTGTTGGTATTTTATGCATATTATGTCACCGAAGTTTGTTTTTATTTATTGGGATGCAGAAGAAAATAAATCAAATCGAATGAAAATGCACCTTGCATGTACCAGGGACAGGTCAGTCTTTTCAATGATAAAGAGTACGATTTCCATTTTGCAATAAGGGTGACACATATCCTTTCATATTTCTACAGCCACGGACGAGAGCAAGAAGCTAATTGAATGTCATTCTGAACAGGGGGTTACGTCAGCAGCCGGCTACCCGGTATATTCTGGCTACCCTCCATAACAGACCAACGTCATGCCTGAAGCCCCGCCTACCTATCAACAATCCGTTGATACCCCACAACCGCCCGTGGTAGTAAGCTTGAATATGTTTGTATTTCACACATTCAAGGGGAGCTTTAGAAGACATTCTGAGACAAAATACTCCCTTAAAAGGGTTCGAATAAATCTCATATCATGCGCATGCGTATTCAATTTTCTAAGAATGCATGCAAAATGACTGACTTTGAAAATTAAAGCTATTCAATGGAAAACAAATCAAAACTTGCGGTTAATTGGACCTATGCGATGTTGATTATCATCATCGTCATCGTTTTGCTTATCTTTCATTTTTCTGCAAATAAATTTGTCAGCGAATTCGTCCAACACCCAACCTATTAACTATTTGAGCTCTCCCGATAAGCATGCGATGATATTGTGAAATGAACTGTCTGGAAGTAAAAATAAAAGATTGATAATGCAGTACATAGAGTTTATGCTTTTTTAGGTATTGGAAAGATCAAAAATGTCTTGTGGAAAATCACATGCACTGCACATCGAAATAGGTATATGGGACAACCAACAAAGGTAGCATCTCTAATAATTGGTCCATACTTTGAAGTAATTTCTCGTAATTCTTTTTAAATACGAGAGCATTTGAAGAGCACTGCTTTAAAGGCACACTGCCATACTTGTAGCTACTTGCTCCCTCTATATAGAAAACTTCCCCAATCGGTGCCTGTTGGTCCCCCATGATCCTCTTTTTCTTATGTTAAATGAGAGCTGAGTTAATGAGATAGCCACCTGTCACAGTGACCTCGATGGCTCTCTGTGTGGTCTAATCCCTTCTGGCCCAGTAGTGGTGACGGTCTTTAAGAGAACAATTTACGAGGATATTCATTCTTTCAAACTTCATAAGATGAAAGAAAAAGCTCACAAATTATGATGTTGTAATCTTTACCAGAACTCAACCCTCTCTACTTTTCTTTCCTAATCAGCCTACTGCTCCTCCACAAACCTCGGGGATGATTAGACAGGCCCCATCACAGCCCGTTAGAGATTACACAATCTTCGCTGTGATCGTCACCCTGTGTTTTTGTTTACCCTTCGGCCTTGTGGGGATCGTCAAAGCATGTGAGGTATGTGTGCTTGATAATAATGATGATGATGACGATATAAATTACTAATGATAATGATGATTATAATGATGCTGATGATGTTGACGATGATAATAATAATGATAGTAATGATAGAAATATATAACAATGATTATAATATTAATAATAGTAATAACAATAATAATAATTACGATATTAATAGCAATAATAATAATAATAATACTAATAATAATAATTATAATAATAATAATAATAACAATAATAATCTGATCTTATTGCTAAAATTAACAATAAGTCTTGTTCTCGATCATTATCACAGGCCAGAAGACAACAAAACTCTGGAGATGTAGAGGGCGCTAGACAAGCTGCTAAGAGTGCTTACAACTGGTCCTTGACCGGTTTGATTTTTGAGGTTGTGGTTATGTTAGCTGTCGTCATCAACTATGCCGTCGTCCTCCAAATATAAATACATCGACTTTTCATAAAGAAGCATAACTAACCATGAGTGGACTATTGGGCTTTTATTATTATTATTATCATATTATTTATATTATCATCATCATCATCCCATTAATATCGCAACCATCACAACCATAATATATATCTAAAGATGAACTTACATGTAGTTTAATTAACTTGTATCGTTTTCGTCCGCGGATAGGTTACTTTTAAAGGAATACGACAAGGGCCTGATATACACTGTTCATTTTTTAGAGTTAGTTCAAATAAATCTATTCGCCCACGCAAATATATACATTTTGAGTAAATCAACCTTGCCCATCGTATATGATTCTTTGGACTTACGGAAAAGCCATGAACCCCGGTAAACGTTGATAAAGAATAGTCAGATTAATACAATTTTATCAAAATGTTGATGCAGTTTTAGATAACTAATTCTTATTCTTAATATAAGGAAATTACAAATATCCCACTAATCTGTATATATGGAGCACCAAATATGGAAATATACAAATCACTGTAATTCTTTCCCATACTGAATAAACTACATAAACTGAATTGTTAAATGAAATGAAAAATCGATGTAAAACAAAAAAAATCGATGTAAATCTCGAGACGCAGTGGTTGATATCGAAGAGCTCTTTTAACATGATAAAGTGTTTGACTTACGTTAACTACATGGAACCTGTTTCATATAACTCTGTAAATAACAACTAGGCCTACTACAATTCTATTTTCAAATATGGCCCTAAGTCACTGACCATATCATGAAACAGGGCCCAGAGCTAAAGTTAGTACGTTTATTCAAAACTTGGTACCAATAATCGACTGTTAAAAAAAAGTATTTATCGTTGAAGTATGATTAAAGTATTAAACGTATAACTATGATCATATCGTCAGAAGAATCCTCGTGATAGTATTAATATGTTTTAAATATGAAGTATAAATATATATTATTCACATGACATGAACTATTACTATGAATTCTCTATCGTGTCTATATAAAGGTAAGAACAAAAATGACAACCTGTATTTTGTGGATATCATTACTTTGGGAATGTCGTAACAGGTGCTGGCCAAGTTTTCTGCTATTGACTCACAATACAAAATGATAGGTGAAATTCCTATAAAAGCTCCGACTCGGAGTTTCATTATTTCGACTGAAGGGAGAGAGATAGAGTGAAGGAGAAAGAGAGAGAGAGAGAGAGAGAGAGAAAGAGAGAGAGTGTGTGTGTGTGTGTGTGTGTGTGTGTGTGTGTGCGTGGGGGTATTCCATAGTTCGGGAGCAGCAGTTGTGAAGGCTCTATCACTATCTCGCTCTATAGATATACGTTCAGATAGGTAAGGAGGAGCCAGAACGTGGATGCATTTGAAGGTGAGAATGAGTATTTTGTATTGAATCTGGGTTCTGATGGGTAGCCAGTTCAATACTATTAACGAAGGATAGGTTTCATGTGACAGAACTTGGGTGAGCCTGTGGCAAGTCTAGCGATAGCGTTTTGAATTTGCTGTATATAGTTTTCTCAATGTAGGTTGCAGTGACAACATAGAGTAGACCATTACAGTAATCCGAGCGACTGGTGATGCAGACATAGTAATGATAATAGTGTAAGCTTATAGAGCGCATATACCGTCGAGGGACGCTCGTGGCGCTACTAAATGAGAGCTGAGTTAATGAGATAGCCACCTGTCACAGTGACCTCGCTGGCTCGCTTGGTGGTCTAATCCCTTCTTGCTGAAGTAGTATAGCCTGCCTTTAAGACGAACTTTAAAGGCGGAGTATGATGCAGTACAGCGAAGTGATGGAGGAGCTTATTCCATAATTTGGTTGATGCATGCGAAAAAGCATTGTCTCCCCACGAATGATGGGTACGGGGAATTCGCAGCAAATTATCAATTCCAGATCTTAAGGTACGAGTTGGATTGTAGGGGTGTAGTGAGTCTTTAATATATTGTGGCAAAATTCCATGGAGGGCCCGATAAACAAGTAACATCATTTTGAATAGGACCCTTTTTTCTGGACAGGTAGCCAGTGAAGAAAGCGTAATATAGGCGTAATGGAGGAATTCCTGGTAGGAAAGTAGGGAGTCTTGCATTGGAATTTTGGAGGGATTGCAGTCTGTCTTGCTTCTGTTTGGTTAGTCGAAATAGGATAGAATTACAAAAATCTAAGCGAGATGAGATTAATGCATTGATTAATTGTTCACATGCTTGTTGAGTCAAAAAATTTCGGATGAACCCTAGGTTCCGCTGTTGATATTTCACTCACAGACTCTGATATACTAGATACATGTTCAATAAATGACATATTATTTCCAAATATCACACCAAGGTTACGAACCTTTGAGGCTGGCTTTATAACTTTGCCAACTACATGCAAACCTAAATTATCATGATTAGCTTTCAGTAAAAAATTCTTAGAGCCCAACAATGATAAACTCAATTATATTTTCATTTATTATAAGACCGTTGGAATCCATCCAGCCTTTCATGTCATGAATACAGGCTTCTAAAGTTCTCCTAGCATCGGCAATTGCATCTAAGGAAGGATGTACTGAAACGAACAGCTGAATGTCATTGGCGTAACAATGATACTTTATATTATGCTTTCGAATTATTGTACTGATTGGCTGAAGGTAGACATAAAACACTAACGGGGCATCAACAGACCCTTGTGGTACACCATATGAGAAATAAGTTTTGTCAGATTGATAATTATTTACAGAGACATAATGGTTCTTTTGTAAATGTATGATGGAAACCCCCGCAACGCAGCGCCTGCAACCCCAAGAGAGTGTATTCTCTTAACAATAATTATGTGGTCAATAGTGTCGAAAGTAGCATAAGCATAGTAGCATAAGAAGAGTAATATTAACTTTGTCCATTTCAGACCAGATACTGTCCACAAGATTAGTTTAATGGATAAGAGTGAGAAATGACCTCTGGTCGAGATACTTGCGAATTCGACGGAGGTTGTGAAGATGGAACAAGTCTGACTTGCATGTCATTAGGACATCACGATTCATGATCATGTTCGAATTAAACATGCAACCCAAGGTTCTTGACATGAGATGCAGAGAAGATTTCAATATTGCCGAACCTGATGTGGGGGTGTTGATCTTCTGCACTTGCTGACGTGTGCCAGTGAGGAGGAACTCTGTCTTATCATCGTTAATCAGCAATCTATTGCTTATCATCCAAGATCGAATGTCACTGAGACAAATCTCCATCACTGCAACAGCTTCTTCCTCACTTGCACCATCAATATGCTTAACTGAGAAGTATAAACTTGCGTGTCATCGGCGTAGCAGTGGGCATGTGGTCAATGTTTATCAGAAACATCGAACATGTCAGATGTGTAGATAGAGAACATGAGGGGCCCCAGACAGGATCCTTGCGGAATTTCGCAGTTCAGATTGAACTTCTTAGACTGGGAGACACAGACAGTTACAAACACACATCAGGTTATTGTTACAATATAAGCTCGGGAAATCGAATTTTGGTTTGCGAATTCTACAGTCATGGCGCAAATTTTGACCAGATTCATTTGAGTTTTCAGACAAATAGTTTTCCAGAATGTTATATGGTAGGGGCGTTTGCGTTATGGCTATGTATGATCCGCTAAGCCTAACATCCTCTGGAGCCCAGCCATGCCAATCAACCAACGGACTTGCCCAAACAAAATGGATGAATACTTTAAAAAATATCTCCTGGCTTCCGAGTTTGTGATCAAGTAAACTATAGGTTGCACCAATGTGTTACTGATGGACATCATATCGAGAACAGCGTCGGTGTAGGGGTCTTTAGGAATGATAAGGTTGACGACAAAAGGGATCCACACCATGCTGAACGAGCCTGTCAAGAGTAAAATAGTCCAGAAACCTTTGAATGTGTGGAATCACCTGCGTTTTCGGACCTGACGACGAACAAGATCGCGCCCGACTACCATTTGAGGATACGTTGATGGTTGACCACGACCCTTGAGGAAGTCGTCATCGATTTGATTGACGTCACGTGGAATCTCGAAATTGCCTACCGCGTTGACCTTCTGGTGCGCGATGGCGAGAAGTCGAATATAGATGGTTGTCGTGAAAGCCACAGTTGCACAAACAGGAACAACAAGGTACAACATGTGAATGGTGGACGCCCATTCTAATTGTGCGCTGGTATCTCGAACTAAGCAACGGTTTGTTAAAAGTTGAATGAATGGTGATTCTGGAATCGGTAGGTAGATTCCACAGACCAGCATGGTCGTCACAAGGGCTGATGTGAGAGTAATGAAAAATCGTCTTCTGGTGACAATGGTGTAATAGCGCAGTGGTCTAGTGACGAGGAGATAGAGATTGAAACTGATTCCAGAGAGACAGATCATTATAAACCATATCGAGACCTGATAGGCGTACGGAAATAGCAAACTAGTGATAGAGCAATAACTGTTATCAGGTGAAAACCAGGAATAGTCCCACAAGCTCCAAGTTATACCCAAAATCAAGTCCGAAGTTGCCAGAACTTGGTAGAGGACTTTCATGTTGTCCTGGAGTTCCTTTTGTTGACGGATTACAAACAGTACCATGGTATTCAAAATCACGGCGAAAACACAAATTACAATATAGACATTGATGTTAATACGATCCGAATCAAAATTTGGAGCTTTAGATGCTAGAAAATCCATGCTTTCTGTCGCCGCCATATGTTAAAATTACAAGCCAATATTTACGGAAAAGTATAAACGTCTTTTCTATCAGCAATGACACAAAGTCAAAAACGAGTTCTGATCGATGTCCCCTCGCAATTATCATACCGTTTATTGGCTTCAACAAAGTGACCTGTCACTCATGCAGTGCCCTGTCGAGGGCTGTGTTTTTTGTGGATTATGCTTAATTCCAATAAAATGTGAATCACGTTCGCTGTTATAAGGCAAAATGAGCTCTCGCGCAGCACTTGATTAAAAATATATAAAATGTTTGTTTGTGTTTTTTTGTATTTGGATCCTGTTTCCTGTTTCCTTTTAGGAAATGATTCTACGAAATGTGTTACCCTATTGCATGTTTGAAGTAACCAACCTTCGGATTGACTCATCAAATGTTCGGAATAAACTTTAATTCAATATCTAGAGCAATGATACCGTTGGTATTAGGAAATATTTGATTTAAAATTATTAACCTTCGTAATACGTAGTAGGTCCATGGTAATACCAAATCTTTCGGGAAAATTAGATTCCGGAGAAACAAAAAAGTTCCAACAAATAATGTAATGAGACAATTTTGATTTACGAATAATTAACCTTCGGAAATACAAATCTTTTGGAGAATGAACGTCTGGAGAAACGAAAGTTCGAAAAACTATCGGAATACGAAAATCGCCAATTCTGATCATACTACACAGCACCAAGGAAAATGTCACCGTAGGAACACAGCCCAGAGATGTCAAAATATTTGTCTTGAAGGTAATGCTTTACGAAGCTACAAGAGAAAGGTGTAAGAATCGGATATTTGCAGAGGGATGTATCATATTTATACAACCACTTGGCCTTGCCATTTGACAGATGGGTAAATATAGGAGCTTGTCAAACTATAGGTCCGTCGATTCTCTTCTTGGGATATCACGTCAATTCTATCTCCCAGTCAAGTAGAAATTGGCAACCTATCAACGTATCCTACCTCAGTCACATCAGTGAAACCGACACGAGACTAGCCTTTTGACAAGGCCTCGTGACTCTGGCTATTTTCCACCCCAATCAGCGGCTGAGATGAGTCTAGAGACCCGGGGTGAACGCGCGATCGAGTGGCTTTTTTGCACGAGGCCTTTTGGATTTTGACTTTTACTTGACCAATCAGAATGGCCATCTCCCAATTGATTTCGTTCGGGATTCGTTCATTATCAAAACATGTAAGAAAGGGTACAAGACGTAAACTAGTTTTTGCTTATGAGATGAACATAGAAATGATAAATACAAAACATCACATCCAAATCTATTTTACATGCAGAATTACAATAAAATAAGAAGCATTTGATAACTTGAGCTAACAATTGTAAGTGAGATGATTGGACTTTCCCTGTATATAAAATGAACCAGTCCAACTTGTTTCGTTCAATGTCATGGGTATTCGTACTACGTAGAGTTTACTGTTGACGTGATGGATAATATATGCCGACGTCACGCGATGATAAGTTCGGTGATTGGACGCTACCATTTCGGTAGAAAATTCCAGTCGGAAACAAGGGTTAACATGAGAAATCCAAACCTGGGCCACTCGCTCTAGCGTTCACTTGGGTTTTCGCGATTAGTCTCTTTTAGTCGCTCGGCGTCTTTCAGACATGAGGCCTTGTCTAAAGGCTGGGCCACTTGCTCTGGCGTACACTCGGGTTTTCGCGATTAGTCTCTTTTTAGTCACTCGGCGTATATCAGACATGAGGCCTTGTCTAAAGGCTGGACCACTTGCTCTGGCGTTTACTCGGGTTTTCGCGATTAGTCTCTTTTTAGTCACTCGGCGTATATCAGACATGAGGCCTTGTCTAAAGGCTGGACCACTCGCTCTGGCGTTCACTCGGGTTTTCGCGATTAGTCTCTTTTTAGTCACTTGGCGTCTATTAGACACGAGGCCTTGTCAAAGGCTAACACGAGACCGACTGTAGACCGTACAACAATTACCTTTCTTTGATTGGCCAAGTAATGGTCGGCTTGGAGTCGGTGAGAAGTCGATTTGGCGGTGTGACTGAGGAGTAAGAAACTAAGGTTTAAACATGGATATAATATTCATGGATTAAACATTGTGATGGATTCGCAAACATCAGTCGGCAAGAAAAATGTCATCTGGATGGCGCAAGGGGGTTAGGGGGGGGGGGGGGGAAGCGGGCACCGAATTTCATTTTCCATCAAACACCGAACATCAACCCACAAACAAAAACAAGGGCAAAACGAAACATACAAAAACAATTACAAATTGGACAGGTCTTCATTAAAAAAATAAGAAATAATAAAGACTGGTCATGGGAATAATCTGATTTATTGTTCAACCCATATGGATACGACGCCACTGCCCCCTTCTTTTCAGTCAATCCGCAGCTCGTGATAATTCGTGTCTATCTATTCATTTTTATTCATACAGAAAATGGTAAGCCTCATTAGCAAATGCGCTGCGGTCTTCAACCTGTCATCGGCGTAGTAAACCATCGTCAGACATGTGAACTTTAAACCAATAACTTTTATGACAAGTATCCGGCTTTCATATACTCAGATTTCCGCCTAAATTCCTTTTCCTTGTCCGCAAGCGAATTGTAATGGCAAGGTCAAACAGCTCAGCGGATACATGTATATTTCCTTTCATTTCCTTTGATATAAAGAGCATCAGAAATTTCAAATGTATTAATTCATAAGTTTCATTAAATTCATGAATAAGAAGTTCTAGTAGTCGTAGTAGTAGTAGTAGCATAAGCAGTAGTAGGAGTAGTATTTCATATAGTAGAAGTAGTGGTGGTGGTAGTAGTAGTAGTTGTAGTAATTGTAGTAGTTGTAGTAGAAGTAGAAGTAGTAGTAGTGATAGTATTAGTATTAGTAGTATTAGTAGTAGTAGTAGTAGTTGTAGTAGTAGTAGTAGTAGTAGTAGTAGTAGTAGTAGTAGTAGTTGTAGTAGTAGTAGTAGTATTAGTAGTAGTTGTAGTAGTAGTAGTAGTAGTAGTAGTAGTTGTTGTAGTAGTAGTAGTAGTAGTAGTAATAGTAGTAATAGTAGTAATAGTAGTAGTAGTAGTAGTATAAGTAGTAGTAGTGGTAGTAGTAGTAGTAGTAGTAGAAGTAGTAGTAGTAGTAGTAGTATTAGTTGTAGTAGTAGTAGTAATAGTAGTAATAGTAGTAATAATAGTAGTAGTAGTAGTAGTAGTAGTAGTAGTAGTAGTAGTAGTAATAGTAGTAATAGTAGTAGTAGTAGTAGTAGTAGTAGTAGTATAAACAGTAGTAGTAGTAGTAGTAGTAGTAGTAGTAGTAGTAGTAGTAGTAGTAGTAGTAGTAGTTTAAGCAGTAGTAGTAGTAGCAGTAGTAGTATCAGTAGTAGTAGTAGTAGTAGCAGAAACCAGCAGTAGTTGTAGTAGTAGTAGCAGCAAAAAAAACAGCCGTCTACCATGTCGGGGTAAATTCTTACTCTTCCCCCACAAATCACTGTTCTCTACAATAATATTTTAGTGTATACAGTAGGCTTGTAGTGTACTTTCTCGCTCCTCGTAGTTATATTAATCCCTAAGCTTGAGATTTAAAAAACTTAAAATTTAATAACAATATATTATATACAGACATAAAACCATGGAATATGATTGCTTATAGTGGACATTTCGGATGAGTCCATTGACTGGTTGTTATCGGACTGCCAAATATGGAAATGTAGAAAATAAAGTACCGGGCCTGGTTGCAATTTCTCTTCTTACCGGCAATACTCTAAAATCCGGTTCCTTGTAGAAAAGGGAAAATTCTCGAACTTATAGGAGGGTATAACCTAATTTGTAAGAGAGTGTAGGCACAAATCCGTAGTACAAAGAAAAGCGCGAACACTTTTCCGTTACGTGAGTGGTGGGCGGGGCGTTTTTTATTTTTTATTTGTCAAGTTCTTATAAATGAAGATGTGATATGAACTCGTTTCATTCACTCGAGGAAAGTTAAGCCACAACGTTTCAAGATTTAGAGCGTTCTAAACAGCTGTAATAAAAACCATTGCTTCACGACTAAAGTTACCTAAATCGACATAATTCAACAAAATGACTTGTAAGTATAATCATATCACTTTCAACTATAGCTTATTGAAATTGCCTATAGAGGTGAGTTTTCGAAAAATTTGCGACAGTGTTGAATAGATTTGCGTTCTTCTTTTTGAATTTCAATTATTGACACGATAATATTTTACGGTGTAAAAAGCATGGTAAATGTGATCCGTCATTGGATTAAAATACAAATTTTATATTGACTATATGACTATGTCACTATATTTTGTTGTTAACAAACGGGGTCTCATGGAAGATCACCATTATTGTTGAAAATGCGCTTCCTTGTATAAATGACAGAAAGAAAAAGAGAAAAGAAGAAAAGAAAATATCCAGAGGCTATATTTATCGAAGATATGTACCGCATATGTTTTCTTATTCACAATTATAGTAAAGTGTCGAACTAGATTAAGATTTTTGTAACTTCTCCTAACCATTGCAAATTTATTGAAAAAGTTAGATGGACAATATTGAAAAGATATACGACAGATTTATCAGCGTTTCATAACTATTTTTTTCCTAATCAATCAAATTATTGAAAAGGTTGCAAATTAATACCCAATTTATCATTCATGTTAAATGTATTATGTCCCATTTGCAGACCCAAAAATGAAAAGGTTAAATTTCAACGGCATTTGAAAGATAATACTAATTTAGAACTTCCCTAAAAAAGGGGGTTTGAAAATGTCTTTAAGTGGGAAAATAACGACTATTAGTTGTCAAATCGACTTAAGAGCTATAGAGCCAGTAAGTAAAAGTCTGATTTTCACACTATTTTACCGAATGGTGGTACGTTTTATGCTGGGCAAAGATTCAATCATTTTAATTTTGGCCATTACAAGAAGTGGTTATTGATGAAGACAGATGCTCATGCACCCTTTACAGCTCATTTTATGTATGTAATTACCAAAGAAGAAGAAAAGCCAGTCAGTCACTCAATAGGTCTGAGAGTAAAGTCTAACAAGTAACCATGTTTCCTTGCATAATTTGACATTGCTAACGTTTAAATTTAACAGATAGGACATACATGACATATTCATAATTCCTGCAAAGTTCTACAGAATTTGATGTTGGCTGCAAAAGGGACATAAATGTAGTATCTTTAATAGACGATAATAAATGTATTTTATCTGTTTAGCCACGGAGATTCCAATATCTGAAACAGAACAGCAGCACCTCGGCATGGACGATGTGAGAATGGGGTCAGAGCTAGCGATGTTTCCACCGCCAAAGGGCCACTCGGTACAGCCTAAATACCTGCCACAACATCATGGCGTACCATCTAAAGCCCCGCCCGCTTACTTGCAAGCAACCAATCACATCCAAGCTCAGCCACAACCACAAACTATAGTGGCTCGTGTAAGTAGAATAATCAAAATGAATGAGATCCTTTCAAAATATGAAAATATTATCGACTTGTTAAATGAATTTAAGAAGAATGAGAGGGAGATGGAACATAAACAAAGCCGTAGACGTCTGATGAAGAACGAAGACAACGTTATAAGAAAGGTAATGAAAAGAAAATCACAAATCAAAGGAAGACATCTAGAGATTATTCGAATAAGGGGTCGCTCAAAAGGAAGTGGCCTTCCCACATTTTAGCTGTACTGCTGTATGGTCATAATTGCTCTTTAAATATTTGTGACCTCAATGGTAGCAATAAGATCCATTTGACTCTTGATACTTTTTTTTGTTTATCAATATCAGACTGCTCCTCGATCCACGAATGCATTTTCGGGAGCGCCCAGACAGCAAGTACCGGACTATTCCCGCCTGGCTTGGATAGTCACTTTATGCTGTTGTATACCCTTTGGTCTTGTCGCTGTCTTCATGGCATCAAGGGTAAGCATTCAAATTCAAAGTTAAAGGGCCGATTTCACAAAGGAGTATTGTCGACAAACCTAGGTTTATGTGCGTCATCATGACGCGTTTCGACGCGTTTCAAAAAGCGTCATGGTTTGAAACGCGTCCCATGATGCACATAAACCTAGGTTTGTCGACAAACCTCCTTTTTGAATTCTGGCTATACAGTGTATTGAACTGAGACAGAACGAGAAAGAAATAAGTTATAAGTTAATAAAAATATTAAACCTCAACCAGACAAACGCAGAAATACAAATCACACCACTCTCGACGAGGAGTAACGTGATGATGTTGCTAACCAAAACAGGGCGATTACAATATATGTTTGTATGACATTTTCTTCATTCAATCCTAACTCAATCTTTTGACATTACAGAGTTAAAAGATAAAACAAAAAGACGTACGTGCTAATTTATATCCAGCAAAATTAAAAATCTTCATAAGACATCGAAATCGTAATAATACAAAATAAAATACTGTTTATGTGATAATTGGTGAAAATTAGCAGGTTTTAAATTATGACAGTTGAGAATTGCTCATGTTCATTTTTTGAAAGGTTTCGCAATCATGTTGATAATAACCCGATGAAGGAATACAATTCCAACATCAGAATCGGGGCCGAAATATGACATTCTGATTGTTGGAAATTTGGCGATGCAATTTTTTCTCTCCAAGAATGTCTCCAAAATAACGTCACGAATTTCTGCCAGACATCGACTTGTGTTACGGGACGAAATTAAACGAAGCAATTCGTCAGTTTTAATTCAGGATTACTTCATACCTTAGAAAGCTATGAAAGTACATTTTTTATGTTTTCCCCTCACATCGCCCACCCCCTCCCCTCTGTAATGGTACCAAATTATTTCTCCAATTTCGATTAATTCTTAATCCTCCCGGCAGTAATTTTTCAATTTAAAGTGATGTCTGTCAAATTTTTTCTATTTTTTCCCTATCTTCACAGGCCAAGGACAAACAAATGTATGGCGATGACGATGGCGCCCGTTCTACCTCCCAGTGTGCGTTGGGCTGGGCAGTAGCTGGAATAGTGTGCGGTATCGTCTTATCCATATTGTTGGGCATATATTATTTTTCAGGTCTAGGGGTATAACAGTAATTTATCATTGAAGCTGTGAGAAAGATGAACTTGTGATGGTTTGGACCAGGCATTCGAACCGTGGACCTGCATGTCGGACAATAATGGTGTTAAATGAATAGAATCTACGGACATGTTTGTCTTGTAGCGATAGAATGAGGCCATTGCCAGGGATGTAGCTATACGGGAGCACGGAGGCACGTGCCCATCCTGTCGATTTTAAAATGGCGAAAAAAGAAAAATAACTAGAGTCTAGGGGTATAACAGTAATTTGTCATTGAAGTTGTGAGAAAGATGAACTTGTGATGGTTTGGCCTGGGGATTCGAACCGTGAACCTGCATGTCGGACAATAATGGTGTTAAATGAATAGAATCTACGGACATGTTTGTCTTGGAGCGATAGAATGCGGTCATAACCTGGGATGTAGCTATACGGGAGCACGGAGGCACGTGCCCATCCTGTCGATTTTAAAATGGCGGGGAAAAAATAACTAGAGAGAGAACTGGAGAGAGGAAACATGACGTGACAAGAAGATGAGAGGAGTCAATTCAACACCTCCGCGTCTAATGGCGGTCGTCTTGTTGATTTGCATTGTTCCAGTAACCTCGTGAGTCCGAAGGCCCCCATCCATCATGCCAATGCCCCCCCCCCACACACACACATAATTATCTTTACCTGAGCTACCGTGCTACGCCTCTTTTAATAACGACAAAGGTGTAATGACAAAGGTGTAATGTTTGGTTTTAAACTACAATAAATGTATTGTATGCAATATGTTTCGAGAAAAAGAAACTAGCAGAATAATACTTTCAACTTATTTATATATTTACCTGAACAATGAAACTTGAGCTGGTCTAACAATGATAACAACAATTGTATATCGACATTAATATGTTTCAATCGTCAATACAGGGATACACATTTGAATATAGTAAACCAGATTTTCCAAAAAGAAAACATCAATCTTTGTATTTCGTATCCTTACTCTTTTACTGGAGGAGCAAAATGGAGTACCTCCATAAATTGTTCATTTCGATTCCGGCAAAGGTGCGTGAACACTCCGGTTACTTTCGCGTATATCATTCCTTACATAATACTGTTTATACCCTAGATATCACATATTTTATAATGCTGGAAAGTATTTAGATCAAACAAAATATTGAATTATCTCTTCGATTTGACAATGGTTGTAGTTTATTTATGATGTATGTTTATATCAATATGACAATTTTTGTACACTGTATATGTTTTTTTACAATAAAGAGAATTTTTAAAATCAGGTCACGGTGGATATGAAAGTGTCTTGTTTAAAATCATCGCAGTCAATGATTTAAGTTGAGTTCAATCAAATCAATTTCTTTGAAATTTGATACCTTATAAAGTGACTCGGTAATATTGTTGAAGGTTGATAAAAAAAAATGTGTAATTTTTGTTTGAAATGTTACTTATTATATTCCTCCTTCTGTACTTACCCTCTAATACGAAAACAATCCTGAGAAAAATTTCAAACCACAAAGATATTTATGGTTTTCTTTGAAGGCGTCACTGTGCAACACCCTCTCAACAGTGAGTGAAATCTCCCAACCTTTTTTTAATTTTCCCAACCGTTATTCCTTGAGAAAAGCAAGACATGAGACAGGCCTTAACAAATATTTCAACATTTAATTGTCTGGAATGGTATTAGAGCTAATTTTACGTTCACCTCAAATGTAATTAAATTGTAATAATATAGTTGGGAGAATCAAGAAATTTATCAAATCATTTTTTCCAATTTTTGTCGTTAATAATGGTCCGTTTTCGCTCAAACTTTCAGATTATCTTTCATTGTACATCTAGCATTGAAGTCATTACCTTAGCACCATTTCTCTCATCTGAACAATGTTACCAAGTCCCTTTAAACACGAAGCACCAACAGAGGATGTATATAGTTACGAACAATGTGTCAACTTTAGAAATTGTATTATAAGAACAGAATAGGAGAAATGGGAGACTAGGAAAAAGGAAAAAAGAAAATAAGAGATCTAGATAAGAATGCCCTGCAATTATTATTATCCCAGCAATTGCCTATTACCAATTAACAACCGGTGTGAGGGTGGCAAATGTGGATTAATGTCTTGCTAAAGGAAGTTATTGCTGGGCTGGGATCCGAACCCTCAACTCTTGGATTGAGAGTCAAGTGAATAAACCACTATACCACGCCCATGGGGTCTCAGTCATCATAGAAAAACTGTAAGCATGCGTGACCAAAGGTTTTCCACACACCCTCTAAACGAGGATTTCTTCTGATGCCAAAATGCACCCTAAATGAGGAATTGTTTTTTCCCGAATTTACACCCTTAACCTCGCGCGGCCGTCGTCCACAGAGAATTGAAGAAAAAAAACCGTTCTGGATTTCAGTACCTCAGCGATCATCCCGCTGTTACTATGGTAGCTTCTCGATTTTGCACACGAACCGCAGATTCTCCGTCCGCGATGAGCTTGCGAAACTCCCTTATGTTTGTCAAACCTGGCAACAACTAATGTATCTACTAATGAAATACTATTATTCTTATCAGGTGAATGAAATAGTTTGTATCGAGGCACTTCACAAAGACGTATGCATTGAATGTGGTAACATTACGAAAATTGCCTATTGGCATTGCATTGCAATACTTCCGTACTATACGTACGCGTTCACCGAAAAGCGAAACCGCGTATTGTGACAAGGACGGCCGTTACCCTGAGTGATCCTGCGTCGTAGAAGGTCTGTCCGTCGCTGAGCGAAAATTCGCTATAATAACCAAAGATGTTGAAGCGCCGCACGTCTATCATCTTTGCTACAACTAGCTAAATGACGGGCGCAGGCGGCGGCCGGTAGTCTCGCGAATGGGCAATTATTACCCCCATCCCCCTTCCCCTAGGTCTAGCCCTGAGGGCTAGAAAAATACCCCTAAACGCATACACCGGCGCTTACAGCAGGATTTTGAAAAAGTACCCTTTTTCTTGAAAATGGCCCAAAATGGACGTTTTTGAACCCCTTAATGCGGCACCGCACGGACCGCGTCCAATCTTTTTAAAAAGCACCCCTTTATACCCGTTTTCTTGGTCACGCATGCTTACAGTATTCATATTTGACTGAGACCCCTGGGATACTACGTCAACCACGACACCTCGATAACTTCGTTCACGATCTCAAAGATACAATAATAAACAACATATACATTAAATGCTCAGTTCTCCCAAAGAATATACCAGTTCGTAGATACAAACTGAGCATGCACGGATTGATCTGCGCATGCGCAGATAAAGGTCAATTGAACAAAAATTTAAAACCCACTGAGACTAATACTGGATACATGCTCACGACAGTTATGTAGTCATTATTCATGCAAGCACCTGTGATGCATCCTATTGAATACAGGTGGAAGTAATCTTTTCAAGAGGGCAAAGAAAGAATCCCCTCCATGACTTTAGCTGCGATAATTCCAAAAGGCATACAGTTGGATTTATTTATGTTTAAAAGATATGTGGAAATTTGGGGTCAATAATAATAATGTACTTTATATAGCAACTTTTCCATTTTCATGTTCAAATATGCTTTACAATTTATTGTTAACAGAAGAGGTAAGTTTTGATATAATTTTGAAGGTATTGACATACTGTTGGTTACGAGGAGTTATCGGTAGGTTATTCCACAGTTTGGGAGCAGCAGTTGTAAAATTACAGGCTCTGTCGCAAAGTGTAGGCAACATCTTGGGAGATGGATGGTTCAGCTTGATGCGTTGAGAGGAGCGAAGGGATTAGCGGAATGGTTGCCTGATAGTTATATTTTCAGATAGGTAATGAAGAGCCAGAACGTGGATGTATTTGAAGGTGACAAGGAGTATTTCGTATTGAATCTGGGTCCTGATCGGTAGCAAGTTCAATAATATTGACGAAGGATAGGTTACATGTGACAGACTTTGGGTGAGCCTGTGGCAAGTCTGGCGGTAGCATTTTGAATTCGCTGTAGTTTCTAAGTGTAGGTCGCAGGGGCACCATAGAGGAGACCGTTACAGTTATCCCAGCGGCTGGTGATGACGGAATGGATAAGAGTAAGTAATGACCTCTGGTCTAGATACTTGCGAAATTGACGGAAGTTTTGAAGAAGTGAGAAGTCTGCCTTGCATGTCATTAGGACATGTTGATTCATGGGTATGTACGAATTAAACTCGCAACCCACGTTCATGACATGAGATGCAGGGAAGATATCAATATTGCCGATCCTGATGTGGGGGTGTTAATCTTCTGAACCTGCTGACGTGTGCCAATGAGGAGGAACTCTGTCTTATCATCGTTAATCAGCAATCTATTGCTTATCATCCAAGATCGAATGTCACTGAGACAAATCTCCATCACTGCAACAGCTTCTTCCTCACTTGCACCATCAATATGCTTAACTGAGAATTATAAACTTGCGTGTCATCGGCGTAGCAGTGGGCGTGTGGTCGATGTTTCTCAGAAACATCGAACAGGTCAGATGTGTAGATAGAGAACATGAGGGGCCCCAGACAAGATCCTTGCGGAACTCCGCAGTTCAGATTTAACTTCTTAGACTGGGAGACACAGACTGTTACAAACACACATCAGGTAATATTATAATATAAGATCGGAACCTAGTATTTTGGTTTGCGAATCCTATCCGCGAATTTTGACCAGATTCATTTTAGTTTTCAGACAGATCATTTTCCAGAATGTTATATGGTAGGGGCGTCTGCGTAATGGCTATATATGACCCGCTAGGCCTAACGTCCTTGGGAGCCCAGCCATGCCAAGCAACCCACGGACTTGTCCAAACAAAATAGATGAATACTTTAAAAAATATCTCCTGGCTTCCGAGTTTGTGATCAAGTAAACTATAGGTTGCAATAATGTGTTGCTGATGGACATCATATCGAGAACAGCGTCGGTGTAGGGGTCTTTAGGAATGATAAGGTTGACGACAAAAGGTATCCACACCATGCTGAACGAGCCTGTCAAGAGTAAAATAGTCCAGAAACCTTTGAATGTGTGGAATCGCCTGCGTTTTCGGACCTGACGACGAACAAGATCGCGCCCGACTACCATTTGAGGATACGTTGATGGTTGACCACGACCCTTGAGGAAGTCGTCATCGATTTGATTGACGTCACGTGGAATCTCGACATTGCCTACCGCGTTGACCTTCTGGTGCGCGATGGCGAGAAGTCGAATGTAGATGGTTGTCGTGAAAGCCATAGTTGCACAAACAGGAACAACAAGGAACAACCTGTGAATGGTGGACGCCCATTTTAATTGTGCGCTGATATTTCGACCTAAGCAACGGTTGATTAAAAATTGAATAAATGGTGATTCCGGAATCGGAAGGTAGATCCCACAGACCAGCATGGTCGTCACAAGGGCTGATGTGAGAGTCATGAAAAATCGTCTACTGGTGACAATGGTGTAATAGCGTAGTGGTCTAGTGACGAGGAGATAGAGATTGAAACTGATTCCAGAGAGACAGATCATTATAGACCATATCGAGACCTGGTAGACGTACGGAAAGAGTAAACTAGTGATAGAACAATAACTGTTATCAGGTGAAAACCAGAAATAGTCCCACAAGCTCCAAGTTATACCCAAAATCAAGTCCGAAGTTGCCAGAACTTGGTAGAGGACTTTCATGTTGTCCTGGAGTTCCTTTTGTTGACGGATTACAAACAGTACAACGGCATTCAAAATCACGGCGAAAACACAAATTACGATATACACATTGATGTTAATACGATCCGAATCAAAATTTGGAGCTTTAGATGCTACTAAGTCCACGCTTTCTGTCGCCGCCATTTGTTAAAAATACAAGCCAATATTTACGGAAAAGTATAAACGTCTTTTCTATCAGCAATGACACAAAGCCGAAAACGAGTTATTATCCACACGAGTTCTGATGTCTCCTCGCAATTATCCTACCGTTTATTGGCTTCAACAAACTGACCTGTCACTCATGCAATGTCCTGTCGAAGGCTGTGTATTTTTTTAATTATGCCTGATTCGTCCAATAAAAATCGAATCTCGTTCGCTGTTATAAGGCAAAATGAGCTCTCACGCCGTACTTGATTTCAAATATTAAACATTTTTGTTTGTGCTTTTTTGTATCTGGATCTACGAATCCTGTTTCATTTTAGGAAATCATTCTACGAAATGTGTTATCCTGTTGCATGTTTGAAGTAACAAATCTTCGGATTGACTCATCAAATGTTCGGAATAAACTTTAATTCAATATCTAAAGCAATTATACCGTTGGTATTAGGAATATGTGACTTAAAAATTATTAACCTTCGTAATACGTAGTAGGTCCATG